ATGGCATTTCATTACATCCAACACTGATTTTTTTTTTATCACTTGATCTAACATTTTTACAAAATTATCCATATCACTATTTTTATGGCATTCTGGTCCATATAATATTTTTTAAGATTTTTGTGTGTGTATGTATGTTGTTGAATATGACTGAAAGGGGAAGATTAATAATTTTAACACGAATCTTCTCAATATTTCTTACGTTCTTCTTCGCTGTCGAGGGTAATTGATAAAGTAGCTCTCCAAAATTCATTCTTTCTATTCCTAGTTCGACGCCAGAGTGCGTTTCGTAATCCCTTATTACATTTTCAAAGACAAAATTTTTAATTTACACACAAAATACATTCATACTTATACTCGTTTTGGGTGAGGTGATACAGAAGACAGAACACGAAACAATGGGTATGAGAACATAAGAATGGAAATAACTGCAGAAGGCCTATTGGCCCATACTTTCACTTGCTGCTTCCATATTGGTTCAGGGTCTTGAAGTGGGTAGAATATGGTTGTGCATTAATTGACTGATGCACAAACAGCCAATTAATGCACAACTATATTGTACCCACTTCAAGACCCCGAACCAATATAGAAGAAGCAACAGGAAGCATGGGCCAATAAGCCTTCTGCAGGTACTTAAATTCTTATGTTCTCATCCCATTGTTTTATGTTCTGTCTTCTGTTTTATCTCGCCTAAAAATTTTTTGCCATATCACCTCGCCCAAAAACGAGTGTAAGTATGAATGTATTTTGTGTGTAAATTAAGTCTTTGAAAATGCAATAAGGAATTACGAAACGCGTTTAGACGTCGGACTAGCAATCAATATATATATATATATATATATATATATATATATATATATATATATATATATATATATATATATATATATATATATAATATTACAGTATATATATATATATATATATATATATATATATATATATATATATATATATATATATATATATATATATATATATATATATATAATATTACAGTATATATATATTATAAATAAATAAATAAATAAATATGAAGAATTTTGGAGAGTTACTTTATCAATTACCCTCGACAGTAAAGAAGAACGTAAGAAATATTGAGAAGATTGGTATTAGAATTATTTATCTTACCCTTTCGGTCATATTCAACAACATATGTTTACAAGAAAGACTGCTACCAAAATATATGTACTGTATATATATAATATGTATGTATGTATGTAAGTATGTATACAGTGTGTACTGTGTTATATTACACTGCTGAGTTGTAAATGTTTAAGCTACTTTATTCTTATAAGCTGTTGAGTGTTAATGTCACTGTTTCCTTGTCTCAGTTTGTTGACCGCTTGACGGGGGACTCCAAGATGAATGTCTGACAAGAAAAGAATGCATGAAACATCGTTTACTGTATCAAGGAAAATGTTGGCACACAACTAAGGGCCGTAACATTGGTCATAATGCCAGAAGATTTGATTGTTACGTGTGAAGAAAGTGAAGGTGTCACAAACTTTTTCCAGGCATAATCAGAGGACCAGGTGTGTCATAATAAAAAAGTATTTTGATATAAAGCTTCATGGAAAATATAGAATGTTATGCATTAATTTTCGAGTTTGGTGAGAATAGTTGACGATTAGACTCATTTGAACTGTGTACTGCAACACAGACTGGCGTGTAAGATAGTGTACATGGAGTCTTTCCTTGAAGCAGTACTGGTTATTGCAACAAGGATAAATCAAATGTTCATGTTCACTCCCAGTTTGTCATGTAAACAATGTTAGCAAGTTAAATGCTTGATGACTATTACTGAGACTAAAGCAGCATGGAGGATGGTGTAAAGAACCACTAGAGGCTATGGTTTATTTTAATTAAGCAACAATTCAGTAAAGTTGTCAAAGTAGAGCATATTTAAAATGCGAGTATTAAGCCATGTTGTCAGTGTTAAAGTATGACGATAGTTTTTGAAGCCTAGAAGTGAGAATTAGTTGTTATTGCTTATTAATGAGTGGAGTGAGTGGTTGTGAGGACTGCACTCTCCTGGTGAAGGCTGCTCCCATCATACTTTCTCTACACTTCAAATATTTTTTTTTCTTTTTTTTGGCAGACATTTAATTTTATTTAATTACAGCATATTGACATGAGAGAGAACGAGGTGAGAGAGAAAAAAGTATTAATACTGTATATAATTAGTGTTTATATTGAATTTGTCAGTTTAGGATTAAGATAATTAGCTGTGCAGAGTGAAATGTTAGATAGTGTCAGGACTTTATATAAATTTAAATTAATTTTCTTATTGAAACAATGTAAATATATTTATTATGTTGATGACAGGCAAAATGTACCTGTATTGCCATTATAGTCCAAATAATGCATACATCAGCTATTAATGTGCTTGTTAACATTGTATAGTGATGTGATGAAGACCTGTCAGCATACTTAACAATAAAGATGGTCATTGTTGTGGTGTCACACTGTGTATGTCTAGCAACTTCACTGCCACCTCTTATGTGATGTATCACCCTATTATAATCAGGCTCCACTTACTTCAATTACTTACTTACTCATTACTTAATACGTTGTCTGTGGGAGGTACTAGCATTTAAGAGTTGTGCCTCTTAATGATGAGAAGAGAAACCTTCACACACTGTACGTATCACTAAGACAACAACGACGATGGAGAGTAAAGGTTCGCTTGTGCCAAACATATTGCCATTAAAAAATCACAGGGGGTTGCATTATCTCAGTCTGGGATGCATTGCATGTGATGTAACTTGAATTTATCAGTGTGCAAGGCTGTTAATTTTTGTTAAGTTACTAATAATTTAAACAATAAACTTCATATGCTTTGGATACCCTTATTTTCTTTTCATTTTCCAGCTTATTATGGATGGCTAATACTAGAATTTTTTATTTGTTTACATTTAAATTTAAATTAATTTTAATCACAACAATTTAGTTGGCTGTTGGCATTTGACTTTTTTTTTTTTTTTTTTTTTTTTACACTGTTCAGTGTAGCAATTTCATCTCGAGAAACAAGCAGATAATCCCATCACACCTCTCACCTCTCACTTAGGTATATAAGACATTTTCTTGCATTCTAACGCAATTCATCTTAATTCTGTACCTCATTTTAGTCAATTTGCTGAACGTGATGCCACTTAACTGGTCAAGTGTGATGATGATGCTCGTATGTTACCTTGATGACACCAGTCTTAGTGTGCTGTCTTGACTGTGTTACCTCGACGCCTTGATGCTTCCATCTGGGAGCTCCCCGTTAGTTGGTGGCCACAACACCTGACTCTTGTCACACGCCTGACACTCCAGGGGAGACACTACCACGCACCTGACACTCCAGGACACTCCACCACCACACACACCTGACACTCCAGGAGACCACCACACACACCTGACACTCCAGGAGACCACCACACACACCTGACACTCCAGGAGACCACCACACACACCTGACACTCCAGGAGACCACCACACACACCTGACACTCCAGGAGACCACCACACACACCTGACACTCCAGGAGACCACCACACACACCTGACACTCCAGGAGACCACCACACACACCTGACACTCTAGGAGACTCCTCCATCACACACACCTGACACTCCAGGAGACCACCACACACACCTGACACTCCAGGAGACCACCACACACACCTGACACTCCAGGACACTCCACCCCCACACACACCTGACACTCCAGGACACTCCACCACCACACACACCTGACACTCCAGGAGACCACCACACACACCTGACACTCCAGGAGACCACCACACACACCTGACACTCCAGGACACTCCACCCCCACACACACCTGACACTCCAGGAGACCACCACACACACCTGACACTCCAGGACACTCCATCACCACACACACCTGACACTCCAGGAGACCACCACACACACCTGACACTCCAGGAGACCACCACACACACCTGACACTCCAGGAGACCACCACACACACCTGACACTCCAGGAGACCACCACACACACCTGACACTCTAGGAGACCACCACACACACCTGACACTCCAGGAGACCACCACACACACCTGACACTCTAGAAGACTCCTCCATCACACACACCTGACACTCCACAAGACTCCTCCTCCACCACACACACACCTGACACTCCCCAAGACTCCTCCACCACACACACACCTGACACTCCACAAAACTCCTCCACCACACACACACCTGACACTCCACAAGACTCCTCCACCACACACACACCTGACACTCCACAAGACTCCTCCACCACACACACACACACACCTGACACTCCACAAGACTCCTCCACCACACACACACACACACCTGACACTCCACAAGACTCCTCCACCACACACACACACACACCTGACACTCCACAAGACTCCTCCACCACACACACACACACACACCTGACACTCCACAAGACTCCTCCATCACACACACACACACACACCTGACACTCCACAAGACTCCCACACACACACACACACACACACCTGACACTCCACAAGACTCCTCCACCACACACACACCTGACACTCCACAAGACTCCTCCACCACACACACACACACACACCTGACACTCCACAAGACTCCTCCATCACACACACACACACACACCTGACACTCCACAAGACTCCCACACACACACACACACACCTGACACTCCACAAGACTCCTCCACCACACACTCACACCTGACACTCCACAAGACTCCTCCACCACACACACACACACCTGACACTCCACAAGAATCCTCCACCACACACACACACACCTGACACTCCACAAGACTCCTCCACCACACACACACACACACACCTGACACTCCACAAGACTCCTCCACCACACACACACACCTGACACTCCACAAGACTCCTCCACCACACACACACACCTGACACTCCACAAGACTCCTCCACCACACACACACACACACACACACACCTGACACTCCACAAGACTCCTCCACCACACACACACACCTGACACTCCACAAGACTCCTCCACCACACACACACACCTGACACTCCACAAGACTCCTCCACCACACACACCTGACACTCCACAAGACTCCTCCACTACACACACCTGACACTGGAAATTTATTGCCTTCCTCGCCCTTTCTATAATTATTTGATAGCTAAAGTTGATAAAATTACCCTCTTATTAAATAATGTGAAAAGTTGGAAATTCCAGAATTGATGAGCCTCATGTCTTATTAGTGAGGTATATAGAAGATTTGCCTCTATTAACTGTGATTTCAATATTTCAAGGAGAATAATACCATATTGACTAGGTATTATGATAGGTACTAGATATTATGTAGTGCAAGTAATTTACAAGTTTTGCAGAAGCCTCTTCATCGCCAAAATTTAAGCTGTAAATTTGTGAATCAAAGTTCATTATGTGTGTGGTGTTTGTCTCTCTTAAGCTTGTGCATAAATCTTTGTTGTAAATCTAACATGGCAACATATTTTGTTTGCTCACAAAGCACAGCAATTGTAATGAATTTCAGCAGGCAATTTGTTTATGTAGTTTGTGTTAAATTGTTGAAACGTTTTTGCAGTGTAGTGACTGAGAAGTTGTCTGGGCACTGTTGAGCAGTGTTCCTATCACACCTTCCAGCATTTAACACTAAGATTCATGTTTGTAATCTTGGCCACATTGAGTTTGAAAGAAGTGATCTTTGTTATAGTCTTTGTGTATATATATAAATCAGAATGCAACACAATTTGTTCCCGGGTAGCAAGTGTTATTTCATAATTGTTTATGCCTAAAATGTATAGAAAATTATTATTATTCCCCACAAACTTTGCTTTTTAACCAAGACGGTGATATTTTGAAACATTCATATTTCTAGTGAGAAAACTGAGTTATATCTGTTATATCAGTAGGAAAAACATAAAAAACTGAATTAACTTGTATATATACTAAAGTTATACAAAAAGTACCACTACTAATTTAAAGTTTTTTCAGTTACTGTATACTGTAAATAGCTTTCACAAATCTGCACTCAATTGTAGTGTGACATTGTTATTATATCGTACTTGGTAGCCGTGTTACAAGTGCAGTACTGTATGTCCTGGCGGAGGTACGTCTTGCTCCTCCAAGTACACTCCCATGTGCTTCTTGGAATGATCAAGATGACATCAAGGACATGAACTTTGAGGGATCATGATTAATGATCATGAGGTATCCAAGGACTATCTTGGATACCTTTGGGTGGTTATAAATAGGAGCTGCCTCGTATGGGCCAATAGGCCTTCTGCAGTTACCTTTGTTCTTATGTTCTTATACCCTATAGCCCTTCGTGCCGTAGTTTTCACTGGTCTCTTGACCATCTCTACATATGTTTGGGTCCTGCGAGTGCCCCAAACCACTGTGACAAAGGTGTTCCAAGGCACCTTTAATTTACTAGTGAGCTTCTTGGAAAATTCCTTGCACTGCAGGATCTTTTATTTATTTGATTCAATTCTGTGAGCAAAGTGTTTAGAAAGCGAAGAGAGAGGAATGGGGATTAGAAATCTGGAGAAATGAGTAGGATGAAAAGTGTAGTGGCTATCCACTTTGGCTTGGTAGTTGTTGTAATGACCTAAGTATTGTTAGTGGATGAGAGCTATGCTCGTAGTGTCCCCGTCCTACCAGTATTGTACTCTGCTGTATATCGCTTTGAAACTACTTACTGATTGTTTTGGTCTCCACCATTCTCGCTTAGCTGTGTAGATCTCTAGATGCTACCAGAAAAATTTGATTCTGTTGTCAGATACTGGAGAGTGGGCCAGGCTCCACTCAGTCGAGTCTGGCCCCAGGTCGGGCTCGGGAAGTAGAACAACTCCCGAAACCCTCTCCTGGTATGCTCCAGACTCCAGAATTGTAGATAATACGTGTTGCCATGATCTGTGCCTCCTGAGCCTGCTTGGTAGTAGGGTTGGAATGGCAAGTTGCTCTGGGGAGGTGCTTGGTAGTAGGTTTAGAGTGGCCAGTGCACTCGTGGGGGGGTGGAAAATCATTTGGGGGTTAGTTGGAATGGGGTCCACAATGGGTACAATCAAGGGGATACCTAGCAGGGTTGTAAAGATTCAGAGTTGTGCTGGGAACTTTGATGATGGATAGGTTGTTGTCTGTCCTGAGGGCAGTTAGGGCCTCTCTGAGACAGATGGGCTCTCCCTTGATAACACGTTTTGTTATTTCCATCTAGTTGTTTGACATGACAGGCATAGCTGGGTAGTATCATGTGGGCTAGCTTGGTTGTTGGGGTTTGTTGGTTGTGGAATAGTCAAAGTGATATAGGTAAGGGTTGGGATGGAGTTTGTGTAATTATCTCAAGTGTGGTTACAGGAGGAGAGCTACGCTCATGGTGTCCCATTTTCCCAGAATTCTATGTAATATGACATTTGAAACTACTGATGGTCTTGGTATCCACAACCTTCTCACTTAAACTTCGTCCTACCATCTTTGTTTGCAGAAGAAAACGTTAATTTTTTTCATTTTTTTTATTTTTTATTTTTTTTAGCTTGAATCTGTGACGTCTTGTTCTTGAAGATGCCAGTTTCAATAATTCCTCTGTCAGTTTTGCTGTTTTCCCTTACCATTTTGCATGTAGTATCGCCTTTTTTCTTCTTTATTCTTCTAGTTTTGGCATATTTAATGCCTCTAGCCTCTCTTCATAGTTTTTTTTTTTGTTAAGTTCTGGAAGCCATTTTGTATCATACTTTTTGCACCTTTTCCAGTTTATTGGTATGCTTCTTAGTTTATTGATATGCTTTTTAGTTTATTGATGTTCTTCTTAAAACAAGTGTAATTACCTAAGTGTAGCTAGAGGATGAGAGGTGTCCTTTCATCCTCATCATTGGGACTCGTGGTGTCCCATATTCCCAGCACATTGTCATATAACACTTTAAAACTACTAATGGTTTTGGCCTCCACCATCTTCTCACTTAAGTAGTGGTTGCAAGTTGTGTATTAGTGGCTGCCTCATCTTCCATCACCTGCTTAATTACTAGTTTTCTTACCTCAGAGAGAGGGGAGCTCACTATGTGATCCCTGAGCATATGACACACTTGCAGATAGTTGGGTTGGGGCAGCAGTTGTAATGGTGTTCTGCCGAACATATGCTTCACGTGTTTGTTAAAACTTACAATTTTTTGAATGGTGCTCTGAAGTATTTAAAACATTGTTTTATCTTCTAGTGCCTCTCTTGTGAAATCTGGTCTGGAGTGGGTTTGATGCCAAAGGTGGAGAGGCCAATGGATAGTGCTGCAGTTGATTGTTCATCTGTTTCATGAGTTAGTTTCTGGGTTCTACAGAGGTCATCTTCCTTGCTGAGTGGGATTATTTTAGGATCATGGTTTTTCTCCTCAATTTTAGGAGTGGAGGGGTCAGAAGTGATGGGGTGTTCTTGTGAAATGAATATTGTTCTCTTGGAATTCATTTGGGAGGAGGGGTACATGGTTTGCACTTTTGCAATGTATTTTATTTATCTTCCGACAGTAGTTGAGGCAGCTTCCAATTATGTTCCAACAGGGTAAATCATGTAGCATGTTGAAAGATGTCTTTGAATGTGATGTTGGTTGCTTCCAGGAGTCTCAAAGGCATTTCTCTATATCGGAAACAAGTACCGATCTTTTCCCCTGTTTGCTTGGTGCATCTCCAAGAGGATTACAACAGCATCAAGACCTTACTGAACACCTTGAAGTATGAGTATAGCTGGAAGGTTATTGGAGACTTCAAAATGGTGGCATTCTTGATGGTTTCCAAGGCTGTCTTACCAAGTTTCCCTGCAATCTTTGTCGTTGGGACAGGTGGGACACCAAGGCGCACTACCAGAGTCGGGACTGGCCACAGTGGGCCGAGTTCCTTGTGTGGAGGAATGTCAAGTGGAAGTCACTGGTGAACCCTGGAAGGTGCTGATGTCAGCACTTCACGTCAAATTGGACCTTCCAGCCATCTGCCCAGACAAGGAATCGGCTGCCTTCAAGACGTCTTACCTAAGCTGTTTGAGGCAAAGGTAAAAGTTGGTTTCTTTGTTGGACCAACAGATAAAGATGGAGTTTGCAGCCAGCAATCATCGCAAGCGGACATATCTACAGCTGCTCCTTGCCTCCAGAAATGAACCTTATCTCTCATCGCCAATGCAAAGCCCATGAGATCCTTGGCAATTGATCACACCCGAGTTACTATCAACACAGAAGAGAAGAAGAAAAGAATAATAAAGCAAGCATTAAATCGAAACTTGCATTATCAATTGATAGCTGGTAGCGCTGGTGCCATTCACCAACTACCACACATCTGGGCTGCCCAGCCCCACTCACCACCTCCCTCATCCCCTACCACCCTAACCCTTCCTCCTCTTCCCCACTTTTACCTCCCTTCTCACCCCAACCTACTCTTTACTCATCTTTCATTCATCCATTCTTCATTCATCTCGCCACTGATTATTACCTCACCACCCATTACTCTCATCACCAACCATGATTGATTGTACTAACCTAATGTAACTTGACTATACCTGGTCAGACAGACTGGCATGAGTGCTACGGCCAAAAAGTATTAAAGCTGGAGAAACAAACCTCGGGGCATCTTTCCCCACCTTTGTTCGTAGCATGGTTAGCTCTATCAATAAAGTTAAGAGAACTTTGCTGTTAGGAATTTTTTGCTGCTAATCAATAATAAGTCAATTGATCATTTTCATTCATTCCCAATCAATAAAAAGTTATAGTCCCACATGGACTTGTACCTTACACCGTTATTGAAGAAATAGTTCAGCCTGCTGCTCCCATGGGAGACGTGGTTACCAGAGTTAGACTCGACGACTAACTTCCCGCCAAGAAGTGCAGCAGAGATATTTGACACAGTCTACCTATTCCTTTAGGTTACAGGCAATTCAGATTGCCTTGAGCGGATGTTGGCTGAAGCAGAGCTCATCCTGGTCACAAAAGCAAGGTTTATGGGGAATAATAGCTATTTTTCTATACTTTGAAGCATAAGCAATTAGAAAATATAAAGATGATCCTACCATGCTTGAAAAGTTTTGCCATTAGCTGGATCTTCTTTGTGTTGGCAGGTTTGTCATGTTACGATGATGCTGTGTTGGCAGGTTTGTCATGTTACGATGACGCTGTCTGGCAGGTTTGTCATGTTACAATGACGCTGTGTTGGCAGGTTTGTCATGTTACGATGACGCTGTGTCGGCAGGTTTGTCATGTTACGATGATGCTGTGTTGGCAGGTTTGTCATGTTACGATGACGCTGTGTCGGCAGGTTTGTCATGTTACGATGACGCTGTCTGGCAGGTTTGACTAATTATGAATCTCATTTTTATGTTTCACAAATATTGAATAACTTGTTTGATTTACTTTGGTGCCCTATACAGTATATTATTTCAGGGTTTTTGAAGTTATCTAATAATTAGGCAACATTAAGTGCTGATTAGTAAGTGGGCAAAAAATTACAAGACTTGAATAAGAGAGATTGGCAATTTGTTGTTTGCCTTTTTATCTTGCATTTCAGTCTATTGAAACAGTGATGGTGTTTCCATGCACTTGTTGGTAATAGAGCAGAAGATGTCTGCAGAAGACGTCTCGGAGGGAATGAAGCAACTTGAGCCCCGTCATTCATTATCAAAATTGCTTTAAATATTTAATGTTCCAAAATTTAAGTGAAACTCTTGAAACTACTGGGACTGGATTTAAGAAAGTTGAGGACTGTAGTAATAAGATGCAACACTGCTTGTACTGTACACTGGTGCTTGAACTACTTCATGAAGTAATCTCTGCACTCTGAGATTATATAATGTCAGAGGAAATGTATCATTTTCTACTGCATCCGCCCTTCCCCCCAAGCCCACTCCACAATCATGATTGTCGACGGGGCTTCCAGTTGAACCAAATACTGTAGGTTGATTGGTAGTATTCTTAGGCACGTGATCACCAAAACATTTGCTTGGCTGACACTTGCCTCTGCTGTCATCCATAGCTCACAGGGTTACCTGAAATGTATATCATATTAAGCCAAGTCTCTTGCGTAGTTAAACATCTGGGCTTTAATGGAAGAATCTAAAATGTACAAGTTTTGTTTTATAGTAAAGAAATCTTTAAATGTTATTAAGAGAGACAGTGAAATTACTTAGTGTACATTATGGATGGTACTGCTAAGTGTACAAGCCTCAGGAAGGTGTACATTATGGATGGTACTGCCAAGTGTACAAGCCTCAGGAAGGTGTACATTATGGATGGTACTGCCAAGTGTACAAGCTTCAGGAAGGTGTACATTATGGATGGTACTGCCAAGTGTACAAGCTTCAGGAAGGTGTACATTATGGATGGTACTGCCAAGTGTACAAGCTTCAGGAAGGTGTACATTATGGATGGTACTGCCAAGTGTACAAGCTTCAGGAAGGTGTACATTATGGATGGTACTGCCAAGTGTACAAGCTTCAGGAAGGTGTACATTATGGATGGTACTGCCAAGTGTACAAGCTTCAGGGAGGTGTACATTATGGATGGTACTGCCAAGTGTACAAGCTTCAGGGAGGTGTACATTATGGATGGTACTGCTAAGTGTACAAGCTTCAGGAAGGTGTACATTATGGATTGTACTGCCAAGTGTACAAGCTTCAGGAAGGTGTACATTATGGATGGTACTGCTAAGTGTACAAGCCTCAGGAAGGTGTACATTATGGATGGTACTGCCAAGTGTACAAGCTTCAGGAAGGTGTACATTATGGATGGTACTGCCAAGTGTACAAGCCTCAGGAAGGTGTACATTATGGATGGTACTGCCAAGTGTACAAGCCTCAGGAAGGTGTACATTATGGATGGTACTGCCAAGTGTACAAGCTTCAGGGAGGTGTACATTATGGATGGTACTGCCAAGTGTACAAGCCTCAGGAAGGTGTACATTATGGATGGTACTGCCAAGTGTACAAGCTTCAGGGAGGTGTACATTATGGATGGTACTGCTAAGTGTACAAGCTTCAGGGAGGTGTACATTATGGATGGTACTGCCAAGTGTACAAGCTTCAGGAAGGTGTACATTATGGATGGTACTGCCAAGTGTACAAGCTTCAGGGAGGTGTACATTATGGATGGTACTGCTAAGTGTACAAGCCTCAGGAAGGTGTACATTATGGATGGTATACTGTCAAGCTTATACACTGCCAGATGTATAAGCTTCAGGAAAGGCATGTGTGGATGAACACACTCACTTGTGTAAAGACAAATATTTGATACTGGAGAAAGTGCGATGGCATTTACCAGTTTCTACTAATTAATATTAGATAAAGTTTCATCTGCAAGGAATCCTATTTATATTCTTTTATGATACTGTTAAACAGTGTTATAAAGGTTGTGGCATAGCAAATTTCTATATACCGAATGATGTCAGACAAAATGTTCTTGTACAAATGGGAATATACTGTACCTTGAAAGGAAATATATTGTAATTTTATGTGTTAATTTTATTAACCATTTTTAATCTTTTTTTTGTATGCAATAGAGAAATGCCAACATTCTGGAGGAAATTCCTCTCAGGTCAGTCTTGACATGGTTAGAAGGGTTTGAATTCTTCAAACATCCTAAAGGCAGTTATGAAAGGAATTTTGAAGTGCCTTTCCTGCTAATGACTGTCATGGAGGATGGGTCAGTCCTCTGTCCTTTTGCAGCCTGCTCCTCCTCCTGCTGCTGTCTTTACCAATTGTGCCAGACATCATTTCCTTTTCCTCGTGTTTCATTTTTCTCCCCCCACCCTTTCTTCTTTCAAATTGTCATTTCCCGCTGACCTTTTGCCTGTTTTGATCATTCTTTTGGCCTTCTTTTGTTTTGATGCCCGGGTGTTTGAGGAGGCATACTATTGCACCTGTAGAACTGTAGTACCCGACGTCTCGAGCGAGGGGGACCCTTTTATTGTCAATCCTCGTTTCGTCACTGAACCCGATCTCGACGGACTGACAGTTCTTAAGGTGGCGTTTGTGGGGCGTATACTCGCGACGCACCCCTGTGGGGGAGCCCAGCAAGATCGGCAACATGTCTCTTGTTGGGTGTCCTGCCTCGAATTGTGGCTCCGTGGTGGGTACGGGGGCACATTCGTGAATGAAAGTATTACCTCTCGTTTCCATGTCGATGAATACTGTTCCTATTATGACTTCTCAGGCTCGTGGGGTGGGCGACCAAGCCCCCGAGTCGAACTGTGTTGGAAGACCGAACTCTGTAGCCCCCACTACATTGGACCCAGACCTAGACCCTCCTTTGACCCTTCTGACTACTTTCCCCAACTCCCCTTCCTCCGCTGTGGTTGGGTCGAGCCATACACCTCCCAGCAGTGACCACCTCGTCCTCTGGCTCGGCTCAGTCTCTCATTGTGACTACTGCACCTTTTAACCCCTCTCTCTCTGGGGGTTCTCAACGCCGTCCCCGCCACAGTCGCACTTGCATGATCCCTTCCCATACTAATACATACCAAGCCTTGTTTGGTCCTGCTTCGTGGGCTACATACTTTGATCTCCTCCCTCTGGATTCTACACCTGACAATTTCTCTTTCTATAAACACCTTGTCGATTCGGTGGATGCCTCTTACTTTTAACCCCACCCATTTAGGTACACGTGTCGTCGCTGCTCCTTCACCGGATGCAGCTACCTGCTTAGCTGCATTGGGGAGACCCCTGTTCGAGTCTCCAAAAACGCTCAGTTAAATGCCAGTGTTGGCACTGTTCTCCTTCCGCACCATGTTGTTGCAACTGGTGTTAGGGACCTAAAAGACTGCCATGAGGATATTAAACATATCCTCGATACCCAAGGCCATCCTGTCCTCCAGGTAGACACGTTTACTCGACCCCCTCGTGGTCGTCGCTGTCAGCCCCTTCGAGTTGTGAAAATCACCTTTGATAGTAGGACCCTTCTGCCCTCTATAATTCTTGCTGGTGCCAGATGCTCTATCAGGATTACATTCCCTCTCCTAGATTTTGCAATAGGTGCTAGAAGTTCGGGCATGGTGTCCTCAAATGCTCAAGTGCTGTGTATCTATGCCCCATGTGTGGGGCCGATGATCACTCTCAAGTCCGAGTGCACTTCTTCCCAGGCTTGCTGCCTTAATTGCGGTGTGGCCCACCCTACCTTCTCCCGCTTGTGTATACACTACAAACTTGAGGAAGCCATCCTCAACTTGAAACACCGGGATCGTCTGTTTTTTCCTGAAGCAAGACGCCAAGTTCGCCTGTTCGCCCTGTTCCTGTACGTTCTGTCCCGACGGGGCCCCACTCCTGGTTCTCCATCTGAAGTTTACCCCCTTCCTACCCAGTCTGCCATGTCTCCTGTGTCTTCTTTCCCTTATTTCCTCAATCCTTCTTCCCATCTCTTCCCCCCAGTCTCTTGGCCCTCCACGCCACCTGTCTGTCCAGGCTGATGTCCATCACCCTCCTAGCAATTTTCATATTGTTCACTCCCGTTTGTCATCTGTTGAGACAATAGAGTCTGTCACACAGTACGTTGTTACTGGAACACCTGTCTTTCTGAGTCAAACGTAAGCCTGGCTCCTCTCCTTCGTCCTCCCCGGCAGGTAAGAAGGCATCGCTTTCTTCCTCGCCCCCACCTCTGACTCTCAATCCGTCCCCATTCCATTTCAGTGGTCGGGCCCCCTGTTTCAGCTATGGAGGTTTCTTTAGCCCCTGATTCCCTCTCAGTTGCTGCCCTTGCTGAGGTGTGCTCCCCAGTTTCTGCCCCCCCCCCCTTCTTCCTTCTTCCTGTCCTTGACCTCCCCTCTCGGTTGTCTCCTCCTCCTCTGGACCCTACCCATCCGCCTCTGGTCTGCCCTCCCGCTCCCTCCACTCCATCCTTACTCAGTATGGCTATGCCCCCCTAACCCTGATTTTGCTGATCCTGATCCTAAGCCTCTTTAATATACTGTGTTCTTCTTTACCTTCGTTTCTTCATTGTTCTCTGTTGCTGTCCTTTCTCTTTTCGATAATGTCTATTTTTCAATGGAATATTCGTGGATTTTATGCCACCTTCCATGTACTCCAACTTCTGATTACACAGTTTTCACCACTTTGTGTTTGTCTCCAGGAACCGATGCTTGGTGCTCGTCCTCCACCTTCCTCCCTGTTCAGCTCGTTGTTGCCGTGAGGGGGGCTTGGTGGGCGTCCTCTGTCCTTTTATAGCTTTGTGCTCAAGCTGGTGTCCTCTCTAATAGTGCTGAACGACTTTATCTTTTCCTTCTGTTTCGTTTTTCTCCCCCCCTCTTCTCCTATCTGCTTGTCGTTTCCTGCCGACCTTTTGCTTGTTTTGGTTATTCTTTTGAACTTCTTCTAATTTGACGCCCGGGTGCTTGAGGAGGCATACTCTTGCACCCGTAGAACTATAGTACCCGACGTCGATAGCGAGGGGAACCTTTTATTGTCAATCCTCCTTTCATCACTGAACCCGATCTCGACGGTCTGACGGTTCTTAAGGTGGCGTTTGTGAGGCGTATATTCACGACGCACCCCTAGGCGGCCCCGACATTATCGGCGATAGCTTCTTGTTGGGTGTCCTGCCTCTAACTGGGGCTTTATGGTGGGTGTGGGGGCATATTCGTGAATGAATGCTTCTCTCTCTCCGTACTTATGTCGATTTCTGTTCCTCTTTTACCTTCTCAGGCTCGTCAGGTGGGCGACCAAGCCCCCGAGTCGGTCCGCATTGGAAAACCGGGCTCTGTAGCCTCTGCTGCATTGGGCCCTGACCTTGCTCCTCCTTTGGTCTTTCTGACTACTCCCCTCGGCTCCCCTCCCTCCTCTGTGGTTGGGTCGAGCCCAAGCCCCCAGTGGTGACCACCTCGTCCCCTGGCACGGCTCAGTCTCTAGTTGTGACTACTGCACCTTTTAACCCCTCTCTCTGGGGGTTCTCAACGCCGTCCTGGACACGGCCGCACTCACTCGATTCCTTCCCGTTCTGATGCGTATGAAGCCTTGTTTGGTCCCGCTCCGTGGGCCAAATACTTTGATCTCCTCCCTCTTGATTCTGCGCCTCCTGATGATTTCTCCCTTTATAGGCACCTTGTTGATTCCGTAGATGCCTCTGTCACCTTCAACCCCACCCGTCTCGGTACACGTGTCATTGCTGCTCCTTCTCAGGATGTGGCCTCCCGCTTGGCTGCTTTATCCTGCCTTGGCGAGACCCCTGTTTGGGTCTCCAAGAACGCTCGGTTGAATGCCAGTGTTGGCACTATTCTCCTCCCACCCCATGTTGCAACCGGTGTTCAGAATCTGCAGGACTGCCACGATGATATTCAGCATATCCTTGAGGCCCAGGGCCATTCTGTCCTCCAGGTAGACACGTTTACTCGTCCACCTCGTGGTCGTCGCCGTTAGCCCCTTCGGGTTGTGAAGATTACTTTTGATGGTAGGACCCTTCCGCCCTCTGTCATTCTTGCTGGTGCCAGGTGCTCCGTCCAGAGTACATTCCCTCTCCTTGGCTCTGTAATAAGTCTCTTATGCTCGCGTGTTGCACTCTTCCTCTCCTCGTCCTTCCCGCCTTCCTCAGACTCTCAACCGTTTCCGGGCCTTGGACCCTGATACACCCACTGCCCCCTCCTCTGTTCCTTTGAGTTCTGTTCCAAAGGGTCCCCGTCCTGGTCCTCTGTCTGGGGTTCCCCTTCTTTCTGCCCGGTCTGTCATGTCTCCTGTGTCTTCTTCCTCGTCTCCCTCTGATCCTCCTTCTCATCATTCTCCTCCGTCTATTGGCTCTTCCCGCCGCCTGTCAGTGCGGGCTGATGTCCATTGCTCTCCCAACGGCTGTCGTGTGTGCTCTCGTTCAACTTCTCCTGTTGAGACGCTGGAATCCGTTACCCAGTACATAGTTGCTGGGACACCTGTCTCTTAGTCAGAAGTGTTAGCCTGGCTCCTCTCCTTCTTCTTCCCCGGCGGGTAAGAAGGCTTCGCTTTCTTCCTCGGCCCCTTACTTCTGACTCTCTCGCTCCTTCCCCCTCCCATTTCGGTGGTTGCGCCCCCTGTTCCTGCTATGGAGGTTTGTTTGGCCCCTGCTTCCCTCTCGGTTGCTGCCCTTGCTGAGGTGCGCTTCCCTCTTTCTACTCCTCCTCTTCCTGCTGCTGTCCTTGACTGCTCCTCTCGGTTGTCTCCTCCTCTTCCTCCTCCTTTGGACCCTACCCGTCCACTTCTGGTCTGTTCTCCCGCTTCCTTCCCTCCATCTTTGCTCAGTTTACCCATGCCCCCTAACCCTGACTTTGCTGACCCTGATCCCGACTCTGATCTTCTTTAACGTGCTATGTTCCTCTTTCACCTTTGTTTCTTCCTTGTTCTCTGTTGTTATCCTTTCTCCTCTCGTCGATGTCTATTCTTCAATGGAACGTTCGGGGTTATTACGCCAATTTCCTTGAACTCCAACTTCTGATTTTGGGGTTTTTGCTCCTTTGTGTCTGTCTCCAGGAGCCGATGCTTGGTGCTCGTCCTGGTCGCTTTC